TGCTTTGCTAAATAATTTGTTACACATCAGGGCTTGCTTTGTTTTTCTGTATATGGGTCACATTGTCCTATTTCTTTGGGTGAACCTTTAAAACCTTTTGTTGAAAACTGGACGTTTTAGATATGTTGATTCTGATCCCCTCAGTGTTTATCACTATTTGCTTGTTTATATATTTAGCTGCTTGGGTGGACAATGTTAATAAAGTCTATTCACACCTTTTAATGTATAGCCTCTGATGCTATTCTGAGGACACAGCCTTGGGCATGCCCTGACCTCTCCCTCTTCCACCCCCCACCCACAATACATTTTTACTCCATGATCTTCCTGTTAGTCTCTTGCTGCCCTGCCTCTATGCTGTCACCCCCAGTTGTTAGCCTGCATTAATTGTGGGTTGATAGACAATTACTCCATTATTTTCCATAACGATCTTGGACATAAATTTTCCACAGTGCGATGCAATTAAATTCTGTCCCTCTGAAAGAATAACCTTAGAAATTTTTCTTTGAGGTTTGCTTCTAACACCAGGTGGGCTTTTCTTGGCTGCCAGAGTCTCTTAACTACAAGGTGATTGTATTAGTCCACTGTGTTGCTAATAATAGAAACATCTGAGTATGGGTAATTTAAAAAGGAGGTTTATTTAGCTCATGGTTTTGGAGGTTCAACATCAAGGGGCTGCATCTGGTGAGGATCTTCTTGCTGGTGGATAACACGGTGAAGGGCATCACTTGAGAAGACAATGCAAGAGTTCGCATATCTGTGTCCCTGTTTGTCTCCACATGAACCCATGAGTATCCAATCGGAGCCCAATCGTGATGACCACTTACTTTCCAAAAGCCCACAGTTCAACATCAGAACCAGATAAAGGTTACACCCTCTCAATATTACAATGGCTTACCAGGTTTTCATAGGTGAATTTTGGGGAGACACATTCAAACCATAGCACCAATCTACTATTTTGCTCTTGTTTGCCACCATTGGTATTGTAGGGCTACCAGCCTTTTCATTGCTCACCAGGGAAAGCTGCAGTTTTCTACACAGTCCTTAGATTTGAATTTCCCCTCTTTATTCCTGATTTTCCCCATAAGCAGAATCTCTGTGCTACTACCTCATGGACGGGGTTGGAAACCTATTATTGTTACAGTGGTACCCCTTAAAAGCATGCACTTGGGAGGCAGCCTTGCTTTTCTTTGCTTTGTTCTCTCTACCGCTGTGGAAGCTCTGCCTTATAAGCAAGCTGGAGTGAGAGTTATTAGGACTTAGTATTCTAGGCCCGCTGTGCCTGGGGTAGAGTTTCCATCCTGGAAGTGGTAACTGGGTTGAGGAAGGGAGCCTGACTTCTTTTCATGGAATAGAGTTTGTGCAACACAGAGCTGATAAGGATAAGGAATAGTGATGGCCAGTCCCTCCTGGAGAGAAACCACAGTATTATACTGGGAACTGAGAAAGGATGAAGCCCTGCGTTATTGGCTACACTCAGTAGTTTCCAGATCTTGACAACTGGGAGAGGTGGGAAGGGGACAGTTCATGGCTCAAACTTCAACTGTTCCTGTACAGATTTAGTATATTTTCTTGATAAATGTTTCTCCATTTATAGTGAGCTTTTAGAGCCATGTCCAGAAACTCTAAGCATTTTTTTTTATATATAATTTTCACCAGTATAGTTGTTTTGCTGGCAGAGAGAATCCACTCAGATCATCATGACAACAATCTGGGACTGCTCTTCAAATCATTTTGTTTTAGAACGAATGCACCTATGATTATTCTAACAGTGAAAAGAACAACGAATCTCCACTCTAGCTCCAACAATTTCAACAAATGATTTAACCTGAGCCTTTCTTAATTTACAATAAGGGCACTTTATATATCTCTTAGATTGTGGTGAGGATTAAATTAGTAAAATAGTATACATGGTACCACCAGATGGTGTAGTTGTTATGTCACTGGACTCCCATGTAGTCACCTGCAGTTTGAGTCCTAGACCTGGTGGCTTAGAACTTACACCGAACACGTGTATGTGCATGCCCAAAATCCCGAGAGGAGAATGGAGAAGGGATTGCAGCATGGCCATCCCCTCTCGGGGGTGATTTCTTGCTTTCTGTCTCTGTCTCTCCAATGAGCACACACACTCTATGTCAAAAATTTCTTAAAATATATGAAGCACCTAGCACAGAAGTTGACTCCACTCACGGTAGACACTCAGTGTACGTCTCCCTTTCAAGCACATGACTGCCTCACTCAGGCTGGATAGCTGTATACTTACACTGGCAGAGACTGATACGTGGTACATATGCACTAAATATTGAACTGGACTGAAAGATGGGTGAATGGAGGAGTGGGAGAGCAGAGCTTTTTCTAAGGTTCTAATCACTGATTTACCCATATACAAAATATGGGTGAAGCTCATGTTTTAATAGCACAGCCTGAAAAGACTAATCAGAATTAAGGCCGGCTGTCAGTAGTGGCTACATAATTAGCAGGGCATAGTGGAGAATGAATACAGGGCCCTTTGTCAAAAATTATTAAAAATTTCGGAGATCCGCTGGGGGTGCGGATGGGGTAGGGTGGGAGGACAGACACACTGAGAGGTAAAGTGAGAAATCACCCCCCCCACCAAGGCACAGGGCCACTCCAAAATCCATTCTCCTCCTGGGATTTTGGGTATGCACACACACACCCAACACGACTTTCAAGCCACCAGGGCAGAGACTCGTACTGCGTTGGCCATGTGGGAGTCCAGCAACGTAATGGCTACGCTACCTGCTGGCGCTATTCTTGCTCACTTTAACCCTAACATAGGGTTCTGAGGGATTCCCACTATGATAGGTAGTATTCCTTAGTTGCTGGATCTTGGGAGGACCTAGAAGAGGGGATTCAAAGTGAGGGACTAGGATAGCCACAGTTGGCATAAGACAGATGGGTGACAGAGGGCAATAATTAGGGGAACTCTCTGGGCATTACACATTTGGGAAATATTCAATACCTTAAAAGCCCATAATAATGCAAAAAAGAGGGCAGTTTAAAAAATTCAATTTCTTGGGGCTGGCAGGTGGCATGGTGGTTGAGGGTGTTGTACTCCCACATGTACAAGAGCAGTTCGAGTCCTAGACCTGGAGGTTTGCTTTCTCACTTTTCCTCTCTCTCTCACTCTGTCCCTTTCTGGTCAAATTAAAATAAAATAAATGAATAAATAAAGTTAAATAAAATAATTCTTTTTAAAAAACTCCATTTCAGGGCCAGCAGGTGGCATAGGAGTTTAAGCAGCTGAACTCCACATGGCCAACTTTGAAGTTTGAGTCCCAGACCTAGTGGAATGAGAAATCACACTGGATGTGGGCCCAAAATCTCGAAGGGAGAAGAGAGGTGGGGACTGTGGCCATCCCTCCTAGGAGGTGATTTCTCTCTTTCCATCTCTCTGTCTCTCTCTCCAGCAAGCACAGACATCATGTAGCAAAATTTTAAATAAAATTTTAAAAACCTCAAAAACTCAATTTCATAAAACCTGGAATTATTGTAAGGGTCATAAACCTGCACAGCTAGCAGGTCAGGAGTTCCTTTTGCAAGGTTTTACTCTGTCTAGATTTACTGTCACTTGATTCTTATATCCATTTTGTTGAGGCAATTTCAGATGGGCCTTCTAGGTTTAGGGCAGTAATTCCAGAAATCCTTCAATCAGTAGAGCGTGCATCCTTTAAAGGGGCGAAGTAAAGGGACCAGCACTTGGCTTAATGGCTATGTCGCTGGACTCCCATGTAGTCAACTCTGGTTCTAGTCCCAGACCCAGCGGCTTAAACTCACACCGGGCGCATGTGTGTGCATGCCCAAGATCCCAAGAGGAGAATGGAAGAGAAGGGATTGCAGCATCGCTATTACCCCTGGGGGGTGATTTCTCGCTTTCTGTCTCTGTCTGTCTCTGTCTTTCTGGCAAGCACACACACCATTAGCAAAAACCTCTCCAAAAAAATAAAAGAGGGGGGAGTGAAATCCTAAGTCCCCGAGACCCACTCAGCCTTCCAAGATGAGACTGCCTGCCATTTCCCTGCCTCACCTTGTCCAGATTCTTCCTCTCCAATACCTGCTCAACGCACTAAAACAATGTCAGCAAGCCCTGGTTTGACAGCAACTGCTGCTTATATTACATCTCACTTACAGTACCATGGCAGTTCGAATGTTTTGCGAGGATAGGTCTAGTTAGGGAAACGGTGTAAGCCATCGTTGATTACAGTGATAGCCAAGGAAAGTATTCGGATTTACCCAGTTAGCAATCAGTTAGCAACGCAGCAATCTGCATTTTTAAAAGGTCCCCAGGTGATTCATTTGCACATTCAGTTGGGAAAGTGCTGATTATAGCATGGAATATAGAATAATAAATGCTAAAATATAGTGGCAAGTTAAGCTGGCTGCCAAGGTAGCCGGGTCGACATTGTCATTGCCACTGATCATCTCTAGAAGGAAGATGTACTTTAAAAGGATTTGTACTCATTTCAAAGGCTTTGAAGCAAACCAGTCCCCCACCCCCCCCCATACACACACACAACCATACCATAAAGTAGGAAATGCCTGCTAAGTAAAATAGGGAATTCCCAGGTTTTTACTGTGTAGTTTGACTTCTGGGCTTTTCAAATATAATCCCTAGTTATTTCATTATGTTCAGCCTTTTAAGCACGCCATTCCTCCCACACAGACAACTATGAATGTGCTTAAAACTTTTTGCCCCCATTCCTCCTCTCCACAGGTCAGTTTTAAAGCCAACCGATCTTATTCATGGTGAGTGCTTTCATCCTCCCTGCAATTTAAAGCAAACAACAAAAGAACTGAAATCTCACTTTTCAAGATTTGGCAATATCTCTCTGACTTAGTGCAAGTTGCAAAACCACATTATGTTGTTAATGGATCATTGAATGGGATCTCTCCCACCCCTTGACTTCTCTATGAGTAGCATTCTCACCATGGTTTTATGAGAAAATAATCTATTAATAAAATCTAGCAAATTAACCATTAGCTGAGAGTTTGAGCGCTCTATTTAAATACAACAATAATTTTTAAAAGACGTATTCAACATTTAAAGAAAAAATTCATTTGAATGAGACTCATTTAACATTGGGCCATGTGATTGGAAATTTGTAGGTCAACACATTGTCTCTTGAGGGAAAACTTCCTTCCTCGTATAAAAAACCTGGAATGGAGAAAGAGTTCTGTTATTAACACTTGATTAATAATAGCTCAAACTACTTCATTGAGAATTACTCTCTCAGAGAAATAAGCAAAAAAGCATTTAGCAGGCAAACGTGAGGCATTTCATACACGTTCACATTTCTATTTTCAAGAGCTGCAGTATTAGTCTCCAAGTAACAACTCCTCCTTGAAACCTACCAACCCATAATCATCCCTCCCCCAATCTAATGAAATCGGTACCATTGTCTGTACAACTCAAATAGCTATCATAGAAAATCATCCTGCAGGTTTCGTCTGTGGCATGGATTCTGTTTTCCCCAATTACAGTGCAAGCTCTCAGGGTAGATGCCATGGGCTGTGATTTTTTTTAAAAAGAATTATTTTATTTAACGTTATTTATTTTAATTTGACCAGAGAGAGACAGAGTGAGAGAGAGAGAGAAAGCAAGCTGCCAGGTCTGGAGCTCGAACTGCAGTCAGCCATGTAGGAGTCCACTGCCCTTAACTACCACACCACCTGCCAGCCGCATGTGTTATGATTTTTATGTAATCTTACTCCTGGGCATATATTACAGTCTATCACTGTTTTAAGTCCAGCTTTCCTTTCACTTAATTCTATTTTTCTCCTCAAATTCTTTCCTTATACTTTTCTCTAA